CGTGCTCCTGTAACTAATTCGAAACAAGCACTTGAACATGCACTTGGAGATGGTGCTAATTCAAGTAGTGCGCTCGTTACTAATTCAACACCAGCACATATTTCTCATGTTCCGCAAGGTACTTACTAAAACCTTTTGTAGCCTATCTTGACTGCTTAAGTTACCACAAGTAGGAAGATAAAATATATTTTGGAAATCTCATGATATTGATTATGTGGTTGGTCACACTAAGTCCTGGTCATATGAATCCCTTTTCTACAATTTCAAAGATTGTGGGCCTGATCGCGGAAAATATTATCTCGACACTCTTTGAAAAGCATTGTGTAGTAACATCTACACCATCCCACCTGTAATGAACATGATCATGCATGAAGTTCTCTTTATGTGATACAAGCAGAGAGAAATATGGGTACATATAATCTGGTAAATGAATAAAGTCTTTTATAAATAGAAATATGGGTACATGCATGAATGTATAAGCAGAAATCAAAGTAAGTTTTCTTCTTTTTCAGCTAAATCGCTTTCACTTCCATCTGCTTCTGCTGAGACATCATCATCGGGGAATGATAACAGGGTCTTAATATGCCCGAACGGAAAAGAGTAATTTTTAAACTACACGTATTATTTAATTCATTTTCGCCTTTATTACATTGTTCATAAAACAACTCTTAACTTGCACAACTGTTTTGCATATAGGTTTACTCCATATGATACTTCTAAAACAATTTCAGCCATCATCAAATCCAAATATGAGAAACCATGGACCGGATGGAATCAAATCCCAAAAAATGTGAGAATATTGTGGTTTGGAGAGTTTAAGGTAAATTTATTGATTTATAAAAAGCTTGTTTTTTATAAATCCCTTTAATGCAAGAAGCCTTCTTTAGCATCTTGCTCTATGTCTTTTTATTACTTTTATCTGGCAACTTTAACGATCGCTGATCATTTAAAAGAGTATTTAGTCATTTGGTTTGTATCTGCTACTATTTTGTTTTTGTGTTAACTTTTTATTCAATGTGCCTTGCATCTCTTTGTTATATGTTTCCCTTTTCTCCAGTAAGAACTTCAGCATATGTTTGTTATAAATTAATTATTTAGAGGACAGTGCTAGGCTATTAGTATTCGTTATCGCTGTATGATTTTATAAGTTGATTTCATAAAGATTTCAAACAGACTCGGATCCTGGGCCTCTTTTTGACATCCTGTAACGTTATCGCTATACGATTCTAGCTATTAGAATATTCTTTGTCTTTGATTCAAGTTCTCAATACCTTTTGTGCTTTAAAATTAAAACCTTGTGCAGGGACTTTTTAGATGGGATCCTAAGCACGACCGGGCCATTAAGAAGATATGGAAAAACAAATGTGCAACCTGTGTGCGTCAAAGCTTGAGTGACATTCGTAGAGGCAAATCAATTGGGGCATGGTTACCTGGAAATGTGCTAAAGGCACTTAAGGAGACCTGGGCATCGGATCCAAGTTTCATGCACATGTCTGAACAAAACAAGAAAAATATAGCTGCTAATAAAGATGGTTATTTGAATCGAGGGGGTGCCATTTCTACATTTGAGCGAAGACGACGTTATGTAAGTTTATCATTTACTTTGTTTTTAGTCTTAATTTTTATTTTCTTTCACTCCACAGTTCGTAAAATCATTATTTCTTTTTTTAGGAAAAAGAATTGGGACGAAGTGTAAGTATTCCTGAAGTTTTTCTCAAGGTCAACTATGATGATAAAACAAAAAAATGGATTACTGCTAAAGCGCAGAAAACATATGTAAGCCTACATAGTTTACAGTATTTGTAGTTTTTTGTAATTTTTTTATTGTTTGAAACATGGCTTTGGTAATAGTCCTGCAAAATTGGTATCCTGTGTGACTTATGTTATATCGTACAATTTTTTATTTCATATGTAGGATGCTTATGAAAAGCTAAAGGCGTTGAAAGTTTCACAAGGCATTACTAACATTGACGACTCAACATGTTTTTACGAAGCAAATGGAGGTTGTAACAAGAAAGGGTTAGCTTATGGGTTTGGGTCAGAGGTGCCCTTTTACAGCTCCAAATGTTCAGGTTCTTGTGTGGCTGACGTCCAAAATCTTAACGATCGTGTGAGTGCGTTGGAGCAACAAAACTTGCAATTAGAGAGTGAAATGTCCTCACTTTGCAGCCTAATTGAGAAACTTCACAACACTAATCAAGAGGTGTCTTCTTCAGCAGCGCCTCCCACTAATCATGACGATGATTGTAGGGCTGAGGAAGAATTTGGAGATGATTACGACGGCATTTAGGAGCTTTTCATTTTATGTCTTAACTTTTGTCGCAAATTTTACACGTTTTGGAGAATGATGCTTATCAGGTCACTAATGCTTTTGTTAGAATGATTAGAATATCAGGTTACTGAATTTGGAGATAATTATGGCATGTTTTGGAGATGATGATTTATCAATGTTTTGTGATTTGCTTTTGTGCATGACTGTGTCTTTCTTTTTTCTTGGTTAATATATCTTTTTTTATTGGTTAATCAGTTTTTTATATTCTTTTATTCAGATTTTATAAATTATTTTATAAATTAGGGATATATGATTTTGTGCTAAATGTATGATTTTATAAAGAGCAAATTCCTACGGAATTCCAACGGTATTTTTCCGTTGGAATTCTGTCACATTTTCGTCAAATGCGCAGGAAGAATCATTGGAATATTCCAACAGACATTTTCCGTTGGAATGGCTGTTGGAACCAATTCCAACGGCTAATTGAACGTAGGAGTAAGCGATGGAATAACTGTTGGACAATATTTCAATAGTTCAGAAATTCCAACGGATAATTTCCGTTGGAATGGCTGTAGGAATTTATTTCCATAGGACTTTCCGTCGGATTTTAACTATTCCGACGGCCGTTTTTCCCACGGATTTTTATCTGTAGGATTATCCGTTGGAATATCTATTCCAACGGAAAATATACTAAATTCCAACGGAAATTGTCCGTTGGAATTTGCCCATTTTTTTTTGTAGTGCCTTTTGATGCAAAGACCATTGTGAAAATCTCTCTAAATCATTTGAGAGTGACAAACAAGTTGATCTGGCATTGCAATAGAAAATGACCTTTTTCTGTCAAGTCTGCTTATGGGCCATCATCTCAATTGCAGAAGTGTCTCAGTCAACTTCAGGATCCAGTAGGGCTAACTGCATGAGTGTCTCAGTGAATTGGATAATTTCGGGAGGGAGAGAAAGGGACAAGGAACTTATGCTTCAGACTTTTATATCATTTGTTGCAGAGACCATTGTGAAAATTCCCCCAAGTCATTTGGGAGTGAGAGACAAGTTAATCTAGCAATGCAATAACAATGACATTTCTTAATTTGTCAATTATGTTTATATGGAAAGTTGTCCATCAATAAAGAAGAAACTAAAAAACGTTCTCTTAAGATGCTGGCATAGATTTATGAGCACAAAAACTCAGTTACTGAAGAAAGGAGTGAGAGTGGATTAGATTTGTGATATTTGTGGTGAGGAGAACCAAGAGAAGGTGTATTTGCTTTTCATTTGTTACACATGTTTTAACAAATAATATATAAATTTTTCTTTCATCAACTTTTAGTTCGACATCAATATTTCGCATATTAGAATAAAATAATATTTATCTATCAACACCAATTAAAAATAATGAATGGTCCAAAAGCTTCTCATTAAATAAGTTAAAAAAATGTGTATGATGCCAATTTTAAATATCCATGTTAATAACATAAAATGAGTATAAATTTATGGAGCATTGTAAATTTTTAAAATAATATAAATATACATATTCCTTCAATTTTAAGTTATGATACCTCATGAAAAATAAAACAAATAAATAGATAAATAAACAAAAATAATTTTATGTAGTATTTCTTATTTTGTTCGTTCATTGGGGTTGTACAAGTATAGTAAACAATATAATAATAATAATAATAAAAGACTAATGGCATGATTGATAGGAAGGAATGACATAAAAATTGAATGATCATTTCCTTACTCATTCCATATCACATGATTGATATATTTTTTGGAAAGGAATAACCATTTCAATGGGAATGACAAAACCCATCTCTATGGAAGGTTTTCTCATTCCTATGTGTGTAGGAATTAATTTTTCAAAAAATAAAATTAACAAATAATAATAAAAAATAAATATATAATATATATTATAAATTATGATTAAAATATAATAAATAAAATTATTTTAAAAAATAAAATTCAAATAAAAAAATTAAAAACTTATTTTTATTTATTTTTTAATTAGATATATTAAATACTTATATAAAAATAAAACTAAAAAAAGTATTTATATATAATTTAAAAATATATTATTTTATTTTTATATATTATTAACAATATATTATTTTTTATATATTAAACAAATATCTTTTAAAAATATATTATTCAAAATATATTACTTTTTATTTTTAAATATTATTAAAAAATACATTATTATAAAAAATAAAATTCAAATAAAAAATTGAAAACTTACTTTTATTTATTGTTTAATTATAACATAAAACATACATTATTAAAAATATATTACTTTTTATTTTTGTATATTATAAAAAATATATTATTTTTTATATAAAAATATATTATTTTTAAGAATATATTTATTTTTTATATATAATTTAAAAATATATTATTTTATTTTTATATATTATTAAAAATATATTATTTTTTATACTATTAAAAAATATATTATTTTATTTTTATATATTATTAAAAAACTATTTATATATAATTTATTAAAAGTATATTTTTTTTAAAAAAAAAGCATTTATTTATTTTTATAATAAAAAATGATAATGTCATTTCATTCTAGTCCTATTCCTTCTGCATACCAAACACATCAATGATAAAACTTGTTTCATTCTATTCTCATAATCATTCAATTCTTCAATTCATTTATATTCTATTATGCCAATCATGCCATAATAAGTAAATGAAAAAATAAATTAAACTATACTAAAGGCGTTGTCTTAACAAGAAGCGACTTTCCAAAGGTTGTTCTTTTTGCGTGTATCCTCCCTACTGTCTTTCACCTGCGAGCGCGACCAAAGGGAAAAAATTGCTCTGCCGCAGCTCAAAGAAATGAAATAAGCAAAAGAAAAGGAAAAACCCTACACGCACCCAGCTCATTCTCATTCAACTGGGACAAGGTAGTAATCGAATCCCCTTTTTCTATTTGTTAATTGAAAATGCTTTGATTACTCGTCCTGATTTTGCCTTTTTCTCTTGGTTCTTGATTGTTATCGCAAGTTTGAAATAGTTCTCTACGAATTACCAACTGGACTGCCCAAAAACCTAAATCCTTTTTGCGGATAAGGTTAGCTGTGACCATTTATGTATAATGTTTTCATGGGCTAAAAACTTTTTTGAAAGATAAAAAGAAATATTTGGAAATTCGATTTGGAATTGATTTCATAGAATCCCTACATAAGCTTTCCCCTTTTGCCAGTAAGCTAATATTCGAAAATGGGGCTTTTATACCCAAATGTTCTACTGCAAGCTTTGAGTTGATCCAATTAACCCATGTTCCAAATCTCTATCTGCAGTGGTTTAACAAGTTTGAAAATCCAAAATGTTGAAAGGCCGGAAAGCTGGTGGGCGGGGGGAGACCACTGCAGCTCACTACGCATTTGGATTTGGGCCTCTCGAGGATGACATCATCATAAAGCACCGGCTTTTGACCCGAACAACCACAACAAGAGGAGAGCCACCATTGAAGAAGCTTCAGAAGAAGTTCACTACCTTTGCTGCCGAAGTTGAGAAAGAAGCCGATAACTATGGGGAGTGCGAAAGGCTTGCAAAGGCCTTTTTGCAGGAGCTGAACACTTTTGAGATCCCACTGCTCAAGAGTCGGGCAGTGATTGATGCTAACGTTAGGGAGAAGGAGAATTTCAACGAGCTGAAAGAGGAGATCAATCGGCAGATTTTGCAGGCGCAAGGTGACATAGAGGATCTGAAGAAGCAGCTGGAAGAGAGCAAGATCGAGAGGCAGCATAAAGAGGAGTGTGAGGCCATTAGGAAGATGATAGCCGTGCAGCCACCGAGGTCCGAAACGCAGAAGATCATAAACGAGCTTGAGAGGGAGATTGCCATGCTGGAGGCAGAAAATACGGCCAGCTCGAGGACACTCGACCTCCGCAAAAAGCAATTTACGCTTTTGTTGCATGTGGTACGTGCTATCATTCAAAAATGTTGTGCATTATATCATTTGTGTTTTGTTCTTCGATTTGGTGTATCATAGGATCTTATCTTTGCATGGGCCGAAGATGCGATGCGGTATTTGTGTCTCGATTAGATGATATATATGGAAAATGTCATCCTTGATATCTTTCTTGTTTCCCTCTTGCCACTAGACAGTCTGGACTTTGGAGATTGAATGCTCCCATGTTAGTAACAAGTAATTTGCTGTTAACCATAAGCTCTTGTGATTCAAAAGGGTCCTTTCTTTAAAATTCTGTTATATGTAAATTTTATATGAAAGATTAGGGTGTTTCTGTTCATAAGCAATCACGAAGTATGAAATTGGAAGATAAAAATGTAATCGAGACACTTTTAGGATTATATTGCATGTTGTGTTAGTCTTCAAGAAAATCAGTTGAATGATACCTAAAAAATTTATAAGTAAAAAATAAAACTACCCTTTTGCTTGCCCAGCCATTCTGGTTTTATTTTTGCTGATCTTAATACAGGTGGATGAACTACAAAACACCATTGAGGAGGAACAGCAGAGTTTGATGGAGGAAATGAGGACAGCAATTGACGAGGAAAAGACGGGTTTAGAGGATGCTAGTGGGGCCCCTGATGCTATGGCTGTTGATTAGATTGGCATTCTGCATCTTTGTCAGATCACAAGAAGAAAAATGTGTTTTGTTTGATTACTATTATCATCTGGCTTGTAAAAGATGAGTTAAACGTTACAAGATGAGTTAAACGTTCCGGCTGCCGCAATATTTTGTACTTCTGTAGTGCATTTTATTTTAGGTAGCTAGCTCTCAAGAGTCGAGACTCAGAAATTTAACAGGATGCAGCACTCTAGTAATATATAATTTTCCGGGACAACTTTAGTTAAACCACACAATTTCAGTATTTCACGTACGTGCCAGTTTTTCAAATACTCGGGCACTCTAGCCACGATCTTTCACCAGTGTTTTTATGGGAGACATTTGACCAGTGCCCTCAAAGGACACTGCACAAAGAGAACTGAGTTTTCTCTCGTGAAAATTCTAACAGTCTAGAAAAATTTTGGGTACTTGGTGATATAATATAACCAATCCATAAGATAATTGTTGAATATCTTATGAGAAACTAATATCTAATTGTCTTGTGTTTCAGCCCTCCGTGTATGGGTACCTAGGTGATGTTGGCCTAGCTTGTCTGCTAAGTAGTTGCAAACTAGTTAATTGTTTTTGTGGTCGTATTCTCTTATGTCTATTTTATCTATAATTATAAATTAAGGGATTATTTCCGTAATGCTGTCATTCCACCAACTATTTACTAACTATTTGTGTACACAACCTGAGTTCAGTTTGCTAAAGCTCAAGTTTGGTTCGTTCATATACTTATCCAAGCCAAGCTACAACAACTGATCAATCTCACTTATTAACCGAGCAAAACCGAACATATTCATAAACAACTCGGTTAGGGTTCATGGTTTGAATTTTTTGTTCATAACACAACTCAACCCAATCTTACGCAAGCAGACATTTGTATTCATCGATTAATCGAGCTTTACGCTAAGTCGAGCAAACTTGTTTTAAATGAGCAAGAACACGAATATGAGAAACTCGACTCAATTAACCCCTCTGATAACCAACATCAGCCAGCAAGGAACGTAACTTTGCAACTGGCAAAGCACAACAAACCACACAAACAAACGAAAAAACCATAAAGCAAAGAACACTAAACCAAACGAAATTCTTGATGCTTTCTTTTTCCACTAAAAATCAGAGCATTTCACAACAGGAACAAGGTTGAAAACATCACAAAGCAAGAACCAACACCACATACACGCACGTTTCTTTTCTCGTCTTTTTTCTTTTTTCTGTTATTACGAAAAACCCCTCACCCTCCATCTCACAGAGATGGGGACGAAACAAACTGCCTGGGCAAACTGAATATATCTCTCTCCTCAAACGGCGAAGTCCACTCCCGAGAACTCCCGCTGCCCGTCTCACCAGAACCCGCAATCCCCTCAGGCAACCCACCACCAGAAGCCAAAACCGGCCTCATGGCTGCCGCCTTCATTCCCATACCATACGCAAAAGAGTCAAACCCTGGGCCTTTACCCTGCACCGGGTAGCTCCCGCCAGCCCAAAGCCCATTGGGCCTCGTTGGCAGCGTACCCAAATCCAGACTCCAGTCTATGCTTGTATAGTCCAGCTGCAGGCTGGAACTCCCCGTGCTCCAGTCCACCGGAGAAGACGAACCAGACGAACCAATCCCGGAAAATAGACCAAGAGATGAAGCAGCCGAGAGTGATGGTGATCCACTTCCCCTACTACTCCACAACCCGCCGCCAGAATTCACCCGCAAAGGGGGCATGTGGAGGTCCATTGGGCCACTACTGTGATTGGGCCCAGGCCCAAACGGCAGCTGGGGCTGGAATTGGTTGTACAGTGGATTTGAACTAACACCATTCGGACTAATGCTTCTAGAGAGGGCAGTGGCGGGGGCCACGACTTTAGGCTTCACCGTATCAATACCACTAGTGGTTGTGTTGGGATACCAATTGCTGCCAATAGGGGGAGAGGAGCTCATGCTCGAAACCGGAGCTTGCTTTGGGTTCATGGATTGTGGCCTTTGCATGACAGTGACTGGTTCCCTCACTGACCCGAGCTGCAAGTTTTTCAGCTCGTTGCTGACAGTGAGATACCGAGCCTCCAGCTTGGCAGGGGGATACGCAGCCTGCAGAGCTGTAGTTGTAGTAGTAGTAGTAGTAGTAGCTAGGGAGCAAGAGATAGGAGTACTACTACTACTATTACTATTACTATTATTTTTATTATTATTGGGTCCCAACCCTGGCCACCTTTTGTCCACTGGGGCGGGTACCTGTTGCGGTTTGACCCAGTCGGATTTAGGAGGTATTTTCTTCAACGGCATCTGCATACTTTTCACGCCAGGATCAGAAGTGCCCGGAACTTTGGTATAATTAAAATCTCTTTCGTCCCTCTTCAGCTGTGAGGTGTCGGGTGGAGTAGCTTTCACCTGCGGCGGCCCCTTCATCATATTCTGACCCATAGTCGTCACCTGCAGCCTGCCGCCGCCAGTGGCAGCAGTAGAAGGATCCCCAGTTTCATCCGTCTTGTGTTGGGCAGCTGGAGGACTCTCCTGCTTCTGAGCCTTTAGAATCTCCTCGGCCTTGTGTAGGTCGCCCTCGCACGAAACCACAGCCCTCTCGACCTCCTGCTTTGAGGCCTTGTACCTAATCTCCATATCCGTAATCCACGCGAGCTCTTCCGAAATGTCGATCTTCAAATTCCCCCCGCCGCTGCCGCTAAGGTCACTTCCCAACTGTTTCTCGTCTTCGGCTACTTCAAAAAGCCACGCTACCGACTCCTCTACCCGACCCTCGTTCTGAATGAGAGCCATTGTGGCCCGTTCATGCGAGAAGCCCATGGAGACTAGCTGTTGAGCGAGGGCTTCCAGCTTCCGTGACATGAGATAGCCACTGCACCTCTCGTGCAGCTCCTGGGCCCGCCGCTCTTTCTGCCGCTGGTGTTTACGCTCATTCTTCAGGCGTATTTTTTCTCTTTTGTCGTTGTCGGCCCCAGGTATGGATTCCTGGCGTGAATTTTGGGCCTGAGAGGCTTTTTCCTTGTGGTCTTCAGACTCGCCCGACCAGCTGCCATTGTTGGAAACAGAATCGTACTCGGCGCCGGTTCCCGACGAGTTCCCATTTTGGTCGTCCGAATCGTCAATGGTACGAAAACGGCCGTTGATGTGGAGTGGGCTGACTGAAGGCACTGGTGCTGTGTCGAATGTGTGGAATGTTCCGGATAGAGGATTGTACCCACTGGTGTTAGCAGGACCTAAAGGCTTCGAGGAAACTTTTGCAGTTTCCTTGCTGGTGGCCTTTTTATCTTTGGATTTAGATCTGGATGCTGGAGACATGGCTTCAACTTTGGAGAGGAGGTCTGAAAAGAAAATAGACGAAGCGCTGTTAGCAGTCAAAGGAGAAAGGCTCTGACAATTTATTATAAACAGAACATTAGCGAATAACTTGGTTTTCTAGTATGCAAAATTCGTATTTAGTAGGAACGCGTGGAATTCGAACTCGAAAAGAACACTATGACAATGGAATGCACACATAACTTTGGAACATGGACTAACTCAACATTGGAGATATTAATTCAGCACATGAACAGGGTCCAAGAAATACAAGCAACAAAGAAGCTGAAGGTATGACCAAGTTGCAGTAAATCAGATCTCCTTAAAGAGGGTCACAAATGATGAAATAAAAGTAGGGCATTTCTAGCAACTCTAAAATGACCTTCAACAACGAAGGTGAACTAATCAAATTTTTCTGGTCATTATCATTACATTCTAGCAACCACAATCTAGTTAACATATTTAAAACATGAAGCCATAGAGTGAAAAAGGAAATAACTTAGATCTTGTGGACCAGCACACTCAGGTTAAAGTAATTATGGGTGGCACACAATAATGTCGATTATGGATTCTATGAAAAAGAAAGTACATATACGACGTTCCGTAAATATAAGACATATATACACACATTAAGAAAACTCCCATAACCACAATGCAATATCAAGAAAGCCATGTTTACTGGAAGCACGAAAACTATGAATGAAACACAAGAGTTTGAAATATAAAAGAGGTCGAGAGAGAGGCTTTCAAGTTTCTTATCACATCCATTAAAAATCAGTTTGCTACTCACTGGAAACTGGTCACTAGAAATTCCAAATCTCTCTTTTCCTTCAAGTAATCCATTGAAAATTAATCTGTCCATATGACTTATTATGTACAGCCAAAAGATATATCTTACCATTAAAGTGGACATATTAAACAAATTGAATCACATGCATCCAATTTCTAAACCATCCTCAATCCTCATGATTCTCACATCCAACCATCATTTCAATGCCCAACAGACATACTTACAGCTCATCATAAGAGCAATCGTAAAACCAAATGCCACATTCCTAACCCACTAATCACATACTCTAGAAACCTTGCAACACATTATCTCTCCAACATGCAAACTCATCCTTCTCAACCTACTTCAACTATTTATCCATAAAATATGAAACCTACAATGTCCTGCAAACTAAAAAGGTAAGATCCCCATTCCGACTTGACTAAACAACATAACATTCCGATCTCCTCGATAACAATAAGCTTAGTAAACGTACAAATCAAACCTACAGCTTTGTGATAAAACGGTATCATTTCAATGTTAAGGATTCTGGACATAATATAATAAAATTATCCAATAGACATCCCCCTCAAGAACAGAATTCTTGGAAGGGGAAAAGAAGACCGTCCACAAAATGAAGCTGTCAACACCCAAAACCAGAAAACTAAGCCGAAGAAAAAAAATATTAAACACGATAATTAAATCTCAACTGCAAGTTGGAACATCAAATCTAAACACCCTAACCCTGCCCCCATACATATGAAAACAGGCGCACTACCACATGCAGAAACCAATCAATCAACATATTGAACGCATTAATTAACAAAGGAACAGCTCACAAGCTAATCCATAAAAATACCAGCCCCATTCCCGAAGATAAAAAAATAAATAAAAAATGTAAAAGAACAAAACAACAACCAAATCGAACGCCTCACCTGATCCTCTAATCAAAGACTAGCAGGAAAGAAAATTCAACATTAAAAAATAAAATAAAAATGGAAATGCTGCGCCCTCCCCCCAACCCTACCCAGAGAGATCGATCAGAAAAAAATCACAGCGAAGAAACGGCGGAGCCTCACCTGCAACGGATCGATCTACAGGTACGCGAATGCTGTCAATTGAATTTGTTGTTGCGAAATGGAGGATTGGATTTGGTTTATGAGGGAGAGAGAGAGAGATGCAAGAAAAGGGATGAATGTGGAGAGAGCGAGGAGAGAGAGATATGTGAGGCTGAAAAATGAAACAGAATCAACCCCAGATTAGGGTTCGTTTTTTCACCCTTTTCTTTTTCCTATTTTTTTAATATTTAATATGCGTGTAGATTAAAAATAATAATAAATAATTTAAAAAGAACACACCTGGCTGCCACGAAAAATGTCTATGTGTGACTGTACCTTCAAATGATAAGGTACAAGTAGATCCGAGCTCGATCTCATCATACTCGAACCGTGCTTTTAAATTAAATGAGCCGACGACGACATATAAGATCAAGCTCAGTCGGTAAATGAGTCGAGCTATAAAAAAACTATATAAACAAAATTTTATATATAAAACTCGTTAAGTAAAGAATTTTTGAATAAATTCAATAAGTGAGTCAACTCGCAAGCCGCTCATTTTGTGTAGCAACTCCAATCTCCATGTAAAGGTCATATATTCCTAAAGTTCATGTAGTGGCCGTTGCAGCGGAATATTGTTGGAAGATTAGTCATGTGATTTTAAATTATAATTGACCGGACACGTTGCTCGAGAGAATATGCGATCAAATCGCATTAGAAATCACCATTTTTTTTTATTTTTGGTCATGATTTTGGCAGCTAAATATTACAGTATTTTAAGAAAAATTGTAAAGCAAATATGCCATCGAGTGCTTAGTTAAGTCTCAAGCAGGTAGTGATTCAGTTTATTCAACGAGTAAGGTATGCGTCTTGAAATTACTCCAACTAGCCGGTCCCATTCGACCCGCATATTATGAATCCAATATAATAATTTATTATATTAGATAATAATAATAATATATTGCGACATGAGAACAAAAAGAAGTTCATTGAGATAACCTTAATTCTCTCTAATATTCTTTCTCCATTGCGCCACTCGTCTAAACTCTACTCTTCTATTTCTTACCACCTTCATAAATTAATCTCCCTAAAATATGTGTAATGAACCATTGAGAAAGGTTTAGGACTCTTCTTTTTAGTCGCACAAAACAATAAAGTGCACTTCTCACCAAGCAATGGAAATAGAAAAACTGGACGTCATTTCACTGCTCAAACAGTATAGACCTAGGGGCAACTCCCTCAGTTATCTACCCTGACTAGATTTGGGTCTGAAAGTAACGTGCGCAAAGCTTTGGGGAAAATAAGGGTGTATTTTTTGTATTCCTTTCTAGCGCATCTCTTGGCCCCTTTTCTCTTTATAGTTTTTTTTAATCACATTTGGATTATGAAGTTTATAGTCGATTTGTGGTGATTTTAGCAATTTAGACTTTTACTTAGTTTTTTAGTTTTTTTCCTTTTTCAAGGTTTTACTATTTTTTCCGTATGATTTATAGGTCATCGAGCTATGAATATCATATGATATGTAATGTAGTTGCCCCACAAGGGCTAGGTCATGGGCAGCCACAGTGAACCAACTGCAGGTCATGACTCATGAGGCATGGTGAGGTAGGAACAAACAAGGGATCCTGGACCAGGGTATGAAATTAATCAGTACAAGATCATACAACAGAGATACAAAGGATGGCATAAAGTTTGACATAATAACACGTGTCACAATCTTATTACTTTGTACATCACATTGATGTTTGATTTTCGCATCGAGTGTAAAGTTGGGATTGAAAATAAAGATGCGGACGCGCTGTCACGAAAAGATGAAGATGGAGCTGAAGCTTGAAGGGGCGGGCATGTTTCAGTTAAATGTCTCGACACATATGGTGGAGTTAAGGAGAGAAAAAATAGTTGCTATCGTTGATCTATTTACATGAGGAGTGGCAGCAATGAACTATTTCAGTAGATTGGACAGTCCGAGACGAGAAGCTTATTTATAAAGGTCAAATTTATTTGGGGAGGGAGTCACAACTGAAAAATGAATTTCATTTGAATATCACTCGATTCCATTAGTGGGACATGTTGGTGTTACCAGAACATTAGCTAGAGTGACATATAATTTTTATTGGGATAGCATGAGACGTGATGTAGTCCTTTCCGTCAAGAATTGTTCCGTTTGTCAGCAAGTAAAATCAAGTAATCAGCCGCCAGTTGGGTTGATTAAGCCATTACCTATCTGGCTATCTCCGAGCAAGTGTGGGATGATATTACCATGGATTTTATAGTTGAGTTACCTCCTTATGTTGGAAAAGCTGTGATAATGGTTGTGGTGCATCGGCTCAGCAAATTTGTGCATTTTGAGAGTTTATTGACTCAATTCACTGCTTCTAAGGTTGCTGAAGTATTTCCATCCCGTTATCAAATAGCCTGGGTTCCCAAAGACCATTGTGTCAGATCATGACCCTATATTTACGAGTAAATTCTGGAATGCTCTATTTGAGTTTAGTGGAACAAAACTTCTACACAGTAGTGCCTATCATCGATCCACAAATGAATGGGCAGACGGAGGTTGTAAATATGATAACGCCGATTCGGAGATCAAAATATCTCACTTTTACACTATGCAAAAAGGTATAAATATGATACGAAATGGAATAGAGGATGGAGAGACGATTATCTTCAAATGTATCGGTTCATGCATGTTTGATGTAATGTTTTTTGATAAACTTGGATCCATACAATCCCCTCTTTGATAAACTTGGATCCATAAAATCCCCTCCTGAGCGACGACTATATAATGGTCGACATGATTTTATGACCTAGTTTATTGTAATTGGACAACATTAATCTTTAATTTAGATTAAAGATTAAATATTAATAAAAATAAAATAATTATGGTAGATGGGAGTTGTTACCCACTTTACATATTTATTTTTATTTTTATTATTAATAAATTTGGGTAAGAATAGTCTTACCAAGACTTCATTTTTATACGAAAATGGTTGTACGTAACATTATATTTTTTATACATAAACTTTTAGTATAAGTACATACATATGTGATGTATGAATGTAATGAATTGAAGTTTTACACTTTGAAAAAGTGAAGAAGGAAAAATTCTCTCTACCATTCTTGCAAAAATTGTTCTTGAAGAAAATAAATAAAAATATTCTTTTTTAATATCAATTCCAAATACCAATTGAATACCAGTCAATTTTTACTAGCAAAGAAATTGTTCTCGGAGTATGAATCCAAATGGGTGGACTTGATTAGAGGGAAGACACTTGGATCCCTTAAGGAGTAAAAAGACGGTGATAGCCACATAACCGGGAATTGATTTTCTCTTCATCGTCGCTATTTGAATAAAATTAAAGGTAATTTTTGAAATTCTCTACAAATCAAAATTCGTATTTTTACGTGATTTTAAAAGATGCCGATCATTTTATTCGCTATATATACTTACGGATTAAGTATTTATTTGATAAATGATAATTATATTGTATAATTTCCACTGCGGATTTAATCCGTACAGTATAGCGAACCCAACATATACACCCTCAGCTTTTATAAAAGTTCGAAGGGAGATTGATGCAATATTGTAATTGAAGAGAAAAGTTATGATGGTGGGTCAACTGTCTTCAAAATGGAAAAATATGGTTCACCGCAACTAGGGCCGAGGTCGGTGGAAGTAAATTTGAATGAAGGCAAAATTATGTGTGATTGTAAAATGTTGGAAACCGATGGCATGCCATGTAGTCATCTGTTTACTGCGCTGAAGAACTTGCATGTTCAGGAGGTACCACAATAATGCATAATTCTTAGGTGGACGACCTTAGCAGGAAAAAATCTGAGAGAAAAATTTCACTTCATACCTGCTTCTGTCGATCCATACCGTAAAAGGTATTTTGAAACTGACATATGTTCCAAGGAGTCTAGGAACGAAGTCGGTACGTCAGATTATGTGAAAAATGTTCGAAGTGCAGTTCAGAACCGAGACAATACAGAAGAAGCCAACACAGGAACCTCAAACAATGATTTCATAAATGGATCAAAAATTAAGGATCTTGCGAGAGGGTCAAAAAACAATGAAAAGACAGACAACCCACGTATGCTAGCTCTAGAGGCGCACCGCACATCACAAAGATAAAGGTGCAAATCATGCGGGTATGAACATAATGCCATAGATTACACATTCTGTTTTTACTACATGAAACTAAAAAAAAAAAAAAAACCGAGTTTTTTCTTGCAGCGAACTCGAACATAAGACAACCACTTGTCAATAAAAAAAAAATGAGTACCCAGCATCACAGTCTTTTGTTGGTAAAGAGAACTCATTTAGCATTCCAGATGTAAGTCAGGATAAGGGACTTGAAGACATTGACCCAATTGGAAGTCATGGTCAATTGGAACTCATTTTGCATTCCAAATCAGAAATGTACTAGGAATTGTTGTAAAAGTCGATTAATCAATTGTTGTAAATATGTTTTTATGTCTTTACTTTTTTCAACAACATTCTACTTGTATTGATTAATCTTCATTTCAGTTAGAAATGGAAAAAGTGTCCCTATGCTGTTTTGCAATAGAACAAGTTTCACAACACTTCAAAGGACTTATACCGGATCTGAAACATGGTTTCAAATAAATCAAATGCTTCATAGTGCTTATAGATGCATGTCCCAACAAAATATGCCAGCTTTCAAGCTCATTAACACTAGTACTAGAAACAGAACAAGAATTGTTTGCATCAGATTTGTGATTGAGAATATATAGTTTTCCTATCATCCTTCCCTCTGCCACCACTTCACAATCTTTAAGGTCCTGCAAC